CTCACCCTACACTCGTAAGTGCCTGAGGCACAGATCTTCAGCCTCCTATTCTGCCTCCCTCATCCCATCTGTCCTGCCTGGTGTAGAAAGCAGGTCAGGAAGAGGAGGCGAGAGAAATAGGATCTGACAAATGGCAAAGAAATGAATTTAACTTATTTTGAGCCTGTTCTGGGCGCAGAGCTTTACTTGGTACACATTCATTCCACAAATATATATTAAGTGGTCACTGTGTACCCTGCACTGTACTGAGCAAGGCTTTGAGAGCCAGTGCTGCCCAAGATAACCGGAGCTCCTGCCCTTACCATGCTGACATCACAGTGGGGAGAGGTCGACAATAAACTGATATAATAAAAGACTAATATGCAAATCAGCTGAATGACTGGTCTTTGTGACACATACTGACCACCAGGAGGCAGATACTCAACGCAAGACCCTAACTCCAGATTCCTCCTCTGATCCAGCCTTCTTGAGGGGAAAATCCAGGCAGACCAGCCTTGGAGTCAGGGGAGTCCTGGAAGCCAGGAGGCCCACTTCTGGCTCCCCTGTATCTTCTGGATCCCCAAGGAAATATAGTTTTATGTTAAATTCATTTTATCCAGTATGATATAACAAGTAACTGCAAAGCAGAGCCTGGTGTGATCACCACAAAACATTGTCAGCTCAAAGAAATAGCGCCCCCTCTCAGTTACTCCCAAGTCTCACCGCTCTCCTGACTTGTGGATATTTGTTCTTGATTTTCTTCCTGCCTAGTTTACAAGCTAGAAAAGTGTCCCTAAATAAAGTGTCACGTTGCCTGTTCTGCACTTGCATGAATGGACCCTTGCTTGGTGTGTTATTTTATGTCTGGCTTCTGTCATCACTCTTATACTTCATCCCTGTTGTATGTGTCAGTAGTTTGGTCCTTTTTATTGTTGTAAGAATTTACCTCGGTTTGTTTATCCATTCTTTTGTGGTGGACACTCAATCTGTTCCCAGTTTTGGGGTCACAGTATGCTGCTAGGAACATTCTAGTGCAGGTTTTTGGTAAACAAATACACTCTTCTCTATTGGGGGCTGTGAATTGCTGGGTTAAGGTGTAGGCATATGTTGAATTTTAGTTCCTTCTGCAAAGCAGTTTTCCATAGTGGCTGACGATCTGATACTCAGACCAGCAGCTTTTCCTTAACATGGTTGCCAGCACTTGCCCGCCAGCCTTCCTGGTGAGTGGGCTTAACTTGCGTTTCCCTGTCACTAATGCGAGGGAGCGTTCCTCGACTGCCCTGTGCCGTGCCCTTTCCTGTGGGTGCCCTTGTTCTCCTCACCCAGGTGGTTCTCAGCTGACAGCTCTGCTCTGGCCCACGCGTCCTCAGACTCGGATCCGAACCGCCTGGGGAGCAGCAGGGAGTGGGGATGGGGCCGTGCAGGTGCTCTTCCCCCCGGGGGGCTGCTGCTTTCAAGCCATTGGCCAGGCAGGCCCCTGTGTGCGCACACTTGGCCTCCGGAGGCTGGTCACCGGCCTCCATCACAGCTCCCTGGGGAGCAGGCCATCCTCTTGGCTGAGGAGCCTGGTGTTTCACCATCACAGGACGCGTCACAAACACCTCAGCCAGGCGCCGCCCTCAGTGGGAGGACAGGGCAGGATCCAGGCGGGACGAATAGGGATCTTCCAGTTCCTCCCCCTGCCCTAGCCCAAGCTACTGCTGGCTCTTAGGCGCTGAAATGAGAAAGTAAAAAGTGACTCTGGTGTGCTGAGCATGAGCCAGGGCCTCCACCACTGCTTAGCTGGGAGACCCCAGGTAACTGGCTTTCCCTCTCTGTGCCTCTGCCTACCCAAGGTGTGGTCGCTGCGGCTCTGGGGGGTGGTTGGAGCATTTAAGAGACTAAATGGGAACGCTGTCACCCTGCTCACAGCCACGCAGCTGGCAGTGACTCCCGGACTCTGCAACACTGACCACTCTAGGTCACACGTGGCTGCCTTCACTTCTCTCTTTCCGATCATGGCAGCCATGGGTTCAGGGTTCTTGGGGGCTAGGCTGCGTGCGGGCTGAACCTTTGTACACACTGGGTGCGTTCATGCTGAATCATGGAGGCTCCTTGAGGTGCAGTTGCTGGGCTGGGAAGAGGAGGGGAGAGGAGTGCTGAGATTGGACACCAGGCCCTGTCTTTCCTTCCACATCACCCTTCCTTTGGACTCTGGATCCATCCCAGCCCTTTGGGAACTATTCAAACTGAACTCCTTCCTGCGGAAGTGCAGTATTGGCCCCTGTGTTGGGAAGGAAGTCCCTAAGTTCCCACCACACAGCCAAGCCCTAAGTCTCCTCCCACGCACCTCTCCGGGCTTCCGACCCTGTGGCCACGTGGACCCCTTGGCAGTTCTCCATACACACCAAGCTCCTCCCTGCTTCAGGGGCTTTGCACTTGCTGTTCCCCTGCCCGACATTCTTTTCCCTGCGTATCAGGACTCCCACCCTGCTCACATGCCCCCCACAGCATGTGGCTAACATAGCACCTTTCCCTGCCATCCTTTCTCCTGCTTTATTTTTATTCTCCTTGGGGTCCCCACCACCTGTCATTGATATGTGTCTGCATCCCCCACTGAAATGTGAGCTTTATGAAGGCAGGGGCTATGTCTTAGTGATGCTCTGTGTCTGGCACCCAGGATAGTCTCTAGAGCTTAGGACACCCTCACAAAAATTGGTGGCAGGTTAGACTGGGGAAGTGTTACTGTGGCTGCGTCTGGTCGGGGCTGGGGGAGGGGGTCTCCTGGGGAGACTGGATTCATTCGTTGTGTACTTAGTAGTTGCCAGGCGTTGTGCTGGCTCGCTGTGTGAGCACGGTTAGGCGAATAGGCGTGGGGAGATTGGTTGAGGAAGTGCACAGAGAGCACCCGGTGAAGCTTCTGGGGTCAGGAAGGCTTTTTGGAGGAGGAATTGGTTCAGCTGAGACTTTGAGGAGGGAGAACTAACCAAGGTGTGGGGGATGGAAGCCAGAGGGAAGGGCCTCAGTGACAAGCAGGCAGAGAGTAGGATGGGGAAGAGGGATTGGGGAGGTGGTGCCAGCTGTAATCATTGTCATGGTCATTAGCCTTTACTGAAGGCTTTCTAGGCTCACAGGGCAGATTTAGACGGAATGTAGGGGCTGAGTGCAGGGGTTGAGAAGCCAGGGAGAAGGCTGGTAGGGGAGAGGAGAGGAGGGGAGGAGAGAGGAGAGGAAAGGAGAGAAGGAGAGGGAAGGGAAGGAAGGGGGGGAAGTGGGGCCCCAGTGGGAAAGTGGTTAGGAAGCTGGGGGGCTGGGCAGTGGGGACTGCCCTGGTCAGCAGCGTAGGAGACAGCGGAGTACAGGCCGGGTCCGGAAGGGTCTTGAATCCCAAGCCAAGGAACTTGTCTCTTTCCTGAGGCCAGTGGGAGGGTTTTGAGTACTAGGTTGAGGGTCCTCCTAGTTGTGGAATGGGGGACAGGGAGAAGGGGAGGAGTCTAGGGAGCAGGTATAGCGGGACCATGCTGGGAAAGGATAGCGCTGGACCTGAGCCAGACTCTGGGAGGGCTGGATGGAGAAACTGGTCACATTAGTGATTGAAACAAACTGGTGGGATGTTTAGGATTGAAGGTCTGACAGTCCTGGGTATTGGGCTCATGGGGTGTGAGTCCTTTGGTGTTCCTATCATGCCTGCTGCTGAGGGGAGCCCGTGTTGCTGTTTCTGCCCCTGCCTTTGCAGGTTGGAGTTCAGAACATGATTTCTCAGCCCACTGTTTACTTCCCCGTCACTGTTCATCTTGCCTTTCCCCCGCTTCCTGCCGCTTACCTTCTTCTTTCTGTTCGGCCCGGCCGGCAGGCTGCCACGGTCACATGCCAGGCAGTAGTGTGTCCCGCCCACCAGCTCCCCTGGGGCATGGGAGAAAGCTGATGCCCATAGTGTCCCTAGAGCCAGCTGCCACTTCTCTGGGGGCCACTGGAGCTCCTGACCTGCTGTCCGCAAATAACCCTAGGCCAGGAAAGGCGAAAAGGCGAAAAGGCGCCTTGGGCTCATGGCTCCTATCCAGGCCTGCGGCTCCAGGTAGGGGCCCAGCTGGTGGTTGCCTCCCGCCCTTCTCCCCTCCACCCGCCTGCCTGGGAACCTGAGACAGAACCAGCAGCCTTGGCGTCTGTCAGTCTATCAGCTGCTGGTCCCTGAGGACAGAAAGGAGGTCTTGGGGAAGGGACCAGGGCCTTGATCAAGACCTCAGGACTGGCTTCTGGGCCCCAGACAAGTGTCTGCACAGTAGGTTGCTTTCCTGGAATACCTGAGGCCCTCTTTTTTTTTTTTTTTTTTTTTTTTTTTTTTTTTTAAATAGGGACAAGGAGGGACCTGAGGCTCTGAGTGAGACATGGGGTGGCCTGTCGCAGGAGAGTGGGGACTACCTGGTTTGCTAAAGATGGCAGGTTGTTGGCCTGGTTTTGGAAAGGAGAGAGAGTGAGAGTATGTGTGTGCGGGGGGTGGCAGGCAGATGCTTCTGGTTTTGAGCACTCCCTCAGGTGCCCAGGGCTGTCTGATTCATCCAGCTTACCTCAGTGTTGAGGCATGGGAGGGGTGCTGCGGGCGGGGCCATAGCTCCCTTACCACCATCCCAGCCTGGAGTGAGGGTGGGTGGATGGGCTGCCTCTGCTCAGTGAGGGTGTTGTGGGTGTTGAGCACAGGGTCTGGCCTGCACATGGGCAGGGAGCTCTCTGTGGCCAGGGTTGTGTCCTTCCTGCCCTCCCCCCCCCCCCATTGGGGTTCCCTGGGGACACAGCCATAGCCCCCCACTCCCATCCACTGGGTCCCAGGAGCAGGGCTCTCCCGCTCTCACTGGCTTCACCACATGCAGAACAAACAGCTTCCACAGGGGCCTCAGAGCCTGGAGGTCCCCAGGGAAGGGGCTGGGGCCCAGTCTCCCTCCAACTTTGATGAGTTCCTCTCTTGTCTTACAGATTGTGCTCTGTTCCTGCATGTCCTGCTGCCCTGAACTATCCTGAGCTTGGTGACAGCGTGTCACGCTGCCACCATGAACGAGGTGTCTGTCATTAAAGAAGGCTGGCTCCACAAGCGTGGTAAGGGGCTGCCTATTCCTGTGGGATTGTGCATCTCTCCCCTCCTCCCCCCCCCCCCCCCAATCTCCATCTCCCTCTTCCTCTTCATCTCCCTCTCTTCCTGGCAGCTGATGTTGCGAGAAGCAGAGATATAGGGTCTTCACAGCCCCCCAGAGCCAGCATCCCAGCCAGTAGCTCTTTTTTTAAAAAAAATATATTTTATTGATTTTTTACAGAGAGGAAGAGAGAGGGATAGAGAGTTAGAAACATCGATGAGGGAGAATCATTGATCAGCTGCCTCTTGCACACCCCCTACTGGGGATGTGCCCGCAACCAAGGTACATGCCCTTGACCGGAATTGAACCTGGGACCCTTCAGTCCACAGGCCAACGCTCTATCCACTGAGCCAAACCGGTTTCGGCCCAGCCAGTAGCTCTTTATCACCCATTTCATGAAATCCTTCAGCAGTAGTCGGGCAGGGGAGCTGTGGCTCTACCTGGGCCAAGTCTCCAGGCCTACCTAGATACTCTGTGTGAGGCCACAGGCCAAGCCTTGAGCTCTGCTTCTGCACTAGTGACTTCATTCGTAGCCCCATTTTATAGGCAAAGGAACTGAGGCTCAGAGAAGAGAAGTCACTTAATTGAAGTAGCACACTCATTCAGCAAATACTCATCGAATGTGGGTATGCCAGGTGTTCCAGGCTCTGGGGACAGTGTGGTGGCCTTAGGGAGTTTCCATTCCATTGGGAGGTGGAGACAAACAAATATGCAGACATGTGATGGTAGTAGTGATAAGTACTGTTGTGAAAATAGGAACTCTGAGAGGGAAGGGGCTGGAGAGAGATGGGTGGTCTGGGGAAGTCGTTTTGAGGAGATGAACAGAGGCTGGAGCAGGTAAGGGAGCAGGATAAGGGTGACAGCAAGGACAAAGGTGGAGCAGAGGGTGAGGGAGGGAGAGCAGGAGGAAATGGCACAATGGAACTCTAGGTGATTGGAAGCCGAGGAGGTTGTGAATCGTGGTGTGACCTAATCTGGTTGTACCAGTGAGCAGCCAGAGAACTGAAGTTGTTTACTGGGTAAAGACTAAGAGACTAGACCCCTCGATCCCAGGCTGTCTGGCCACTAAGCTGTGGCACTTATCTGCTCTGCTGCTGCGTGCAGCTGGGAAGAAGCTTGTGCTGAGAGCTGGCTTGTCCAGACTGAGGAGGAAGAAGGCAGGCTGTCCTCCCTTCCTGGATCTTCCTCTAGGGAGGAAGGGTTTCAGGCCTGCTGATAGCTGCTCTGTGTGTACTTTCATTCATTCAGCAGACAGTTACTGAGCAACTGCCATGCTTAGGCACTGGGTATATAGCAGTGAACCAAACAGGCAAATCCCCGTCTTCATGCTCACGCCTTACATTTAATGGCGAGGGCAGTGGCACTGGAGTAGGCATCTGTATCCACTAGTGGTAAGTGCTATGGAGAAAAACCAAGCAACATGTAAAGGAGGAGCTGTGAACACTGTCATAAATAGGGTGGCCAGAGAGAGCCTCGCTGAGAGTGGGCCTTTTGAATAAAGCTCTAAGGGAGGCAAGGGAATGAATCCCATGGCTGACTGAGGGAGAGCATGAGCCCGTGAGTCTGGAGAGGGGAGTGGACTGGCATGTTTGAAGAGGGCAGGGAGGCTGATGGGGCTGGCCTTTAGGGACTAGGGAGTAATGCCCACCCATCCTGCCTTATCCCAGGCTGCAGACAGCAGTGATGAGGGGCAGAGGCAGTTCCCCAGGGCCAGCCTTCCCCAGCAGACTGAGCAGGGGAGAGCTATTCCTGTTGCCCTCAAAAGACGGGTGTCATTCAGGACATGTCAATCTACCTCTCAGATTGGGCCTTGTGTTTGGGGCCATCGATGGAACTTTCTGAACCTGGGCAGATGTCAAGATTCTAACGCTGGCTCTGCCACTTCGCCTTGGTGTGACTGTGAGTAAGCTGTCACCTCTCTGAGCCTTGGCTGCACATTTGTAAAATGGGTTAACAATGCAGGCCTCTGACGCTGTGAGCTCCTTGAGGGCAGGGGTTTGATCCAGCTTGTTTGCTGCGGTAGCCCCAGTGCCTAGAAAAGTAGGTGCTCAGTAACTGATTGTTGAGATTGTGTGTGTGGGGTTGGGGTGGGTTGGGGTGTGGTCTCACACAATCTCAACAATCAGTTACTGAGTGTGGTCTGTGGGCCACAGTCTCAGGCTCCTGATTTTCCCGAGGCCCATGGGTGTGGGCTGGAGTGTGGGCGCCCTTGTGGTGGCTGGAGGACTGTGGTGGGGGTAAGGGTTGTCTCTAGTCGAGGTCTGCTGGTAGCAGTAAGTGGATCTCAGCCCCTCTCAGGCCTTCACTGTCTTCGTTTGTGCTGCAGGGCGGCCAGATGAGCTGTTGAGATGGCCTCCCTGGGACACACTTGCCTTGAGGGTTTGCACCATACTCATATGATTGTTTCACTCCTGGGCTTCTCGGAGCCCATTGTTCTGAGCAGCAGCTGGCAGAGATGTGCAAGGCAAGGTGGCTTCTGCTAACTGCAACTGTTTTGGCACCTGTACCATCGCACCCCTGGTGGTTACAATAATAGCAGTCCCAGTTTACTTTGTGCCCATTCTGTGCCAGGCATGGGCTGTGCTGTGGGCAAGCTTGATTTGTTGAATTTTCTTAGCTGCCTTGTGAGGCAGGTGTCTTACCAGGACGCTGAGGCTAAGCAGGAAGACTGACTGGAGGTTCCACTGAGAAGGTGGCAGCGCTGCGTCCTCTGACTTCGAACCAGTGCTTTCAAGGCCTGGCCCACAGGCTGCTTCTTGCCTAGCAAGGTCTGTTCAAGGAACGGGTGAAGTGAGCACTATTACTGGAGTGACTCCTGCTTTGTGCCGGTCCCCTTTCCACCGGACCTGGTCCTGTCTGCCTGTGTAGAGGCAGACAGTGTGGTGGTTAAGAGCATGGACAAAGCAAACCCTGCTCCATCCTAACTATTCTGGTCAGCAGCTATGATCCTTGGGCAAGTAATGGAACCTCTCTGTGCCTCAGTTTCCTCATTTGTAAATTGGGATTGTTGTGGGAATGTTTTTTTCTTTCCTTCTAAGTTTCTTTTGTCTTCTTAGCTTGTTCTTAGCATAAAACACTATAGGTAAATGCCTGGATCATAAGCTCACCCCCAAACTAGTTTCAGATCAAGAAATAGAACAAGACAGTCTCCAGAAGCCCCCTGCCACTCCCAAGCAGTAACTCTCCTAATTTCCAATAGCATAAGTGAGGTTTTCGAGTTTCGTTTTATTTTTTTAAATTGAGGTGAAATTTACATAACACAAATTAACTCTTTTAAAGTGTACAATTCAGTGGCCTTTAGTACATTCGCAGTGTTGTGTAACCGCTACCTCTGTCTAGTTCCAAAACATTTTCATCACCCTAAAAGAAAGCCCTGTACTCATTAAGCACTCAGTCCCATCCCCCCTCCTACCCTGGCAGCCACCGGTTTGTTTTCTGTCTTTATGGATTTACTTATTCTGGATATTTCATATAAATGAATCATACAATTGGTGGCCTTTTGTGTCTGGCGTTTTTCACTTACTAGCATAATGTTTTTGAAGTTCATCCATGCTGTAGCATGGATCAGTATTTCATTCCTTTTTATGTCCAAATAATATTCTATTATACAAATATACAACATTTTGTTTATCCATATGTCTATTGATGGACATTTGAGTTATTTTTATCTTTTGGCTATAGTACTATAGTGAATATTTGTGTATAAATATTTGAGTACTTGTTTTAAGTATTTGAGTACTTTGGGGTATGCATCTAGGAGTGGAATTGCTGGGTCATGTATTCTATATTTATAATCCATATTTATGCAAATTACACAAATTAGATCAAATATCCTATATTTATATACTAAAAGTCTACATAATTAGATAAATGTAGATGTAAATAATCTGGGTTATATATTATCTATACTAATAAAAGAGTAGTCAGACCAGAGACCTTCTGGAGACCTTCCAGATGTCCTTCAGGACAAAGCCAAGGGGGTTGGCCAGCCAACAAACCACCCCAAATGGCCCTCAGCCTTTGCCCAGGCTCACCCCGCCCCCAGCAGGGACCCTCACCCCGAAGCTGTGAGGGTCCCTGCAAATGGTCATCTGCCCTTTGCCAAAGCCCACTCCACCCAATGGGGTATGGCCAACCTATAAACGGCCATCAGCCCCTTGCCCAGGTTGACCACGCCCTCCAGCGGGAACCCCTCCTCCCTCTAAAGGGGGTGTGGCCAGCCTGAAAAAAAGGCCCTCAGCTCCTTACCCATCCTGGCCACGCCCCCAGTGGGAACCCCCTACCCTGATGGGGGCTGGCCAACCTAAAAACAGCTCTAGGCCCTTCACCCAAGCGGGCCCCACCTCACAAGGGGACCTCCACCCTAATCCAGGTCTTCCTTCAGGGCAGACCAGCTGGCCCCACCTGTGCACCAGGCCTTTATCTACACTAATAAAAGGGTAATAAAGGGTAACACGCTAACAAAAGGGTAATATGCTAATTAGACCAGGAGACCTTCTAGGAGACCTGGATGTTCTTTCAGACAAAGCCATGGTGGCAGAGCAGAGGCAAAGGCGGGGTGATCAGGCCAGGATGGGAGAGCAGCTGGTTGATCAGGCCAGCAAGGACAGGTAGTTGGGGCAAGCAGGCTGGCAGGGGAAGGCAGTTGGGGGTGAGCAGGCCAGCAGTGGGGGGCAGTTGGGGGCAATCAAGCTGGCATGGGGGGGGGGGTGACCAGGCCAGCAGGGGGTGCAGTTGGCGACAATCAGCCCAGCAAGGGTGGACAGTTAGAGGTGAGCAGGACAGTAGACAGAGTGGTTAGGAACAATCAGGCGAGTGAGCGGTTAGGAGTCAGCAGATTTAGATTGTGAGAAAGATGTCCACCGAGGGGTCCCAGATTGGAGAAAGTGTAGGCTGAGGTGAGGGATACCTTTCCTCCCCCTCCCCCTTGCATGAATTTCATGCACTGGGCCACTAGTATATTTA